TCTCAGCAGGGCTGGCATGGATCCCACTATGCTCCTTTCAGCCTTCCCATGCAGGAGGTAAGTAAGAACCATCTGAGATGCACTGAGGCAAGAACTGCCTTCACCCAATCAGCCCAATGACCTCAAAGTTAAGAGAAAATGGAAAGTGCATGGAAAAAAACCCCAGTGCCACCACCATGGAGCCTCTCTGCAGGTTATTTTGTTCCAGGACACAGTTAGCATCCTCCTACCTCACCACAGCTCTGAAGACCTCTGGAGTGGCACGCACAGCCTGCACAAGGTGGAACCTGAGCTACGCATTATGCTCTCCAAGCACCACCACATAAAAAGAAGAACCCACGTTGTCATCTCACATCTCAGCTCCAGGCCTTGCTGGCAACACCAAAAGCAAGTGTAGAAGCTTCAGACCAAAGCAGCAGTTTGATGCTGATGGTGGGAGGTAAGGAGTGTGCAAACAACGGGGCAGGTTCCTCCCAGGGAGCGTTTAGAAAGGTGTCACTGCCTTCAGAGCCCCTGAAATCCCACAAGCAATTAAACAGTCACAGGAGAAGAGGTTCTGAGCTTCACAGATGCCAGCTATCTCCCAGCACCAACACTGATGCTGAGCATTAAAAATAGTGTCTTTGCTCTGAGGAGAGAGCTGAGGACAGCTGGCATAAGCAAGACCTCGTCCCAAAAAAACATCCGACAAGCTTACACCACTTAACTTCAACACAGGATTTTAGCCAAAAAAAGTAACTTCACAGAGTTGCTTACAGCCAGGTCCCTGCAGAAGCCTCTGCTGGAGCTGCACAGCTTATGTGAAGGAGAAACTTTGGGAGAAAGTCACAGCAAAACACCTCACTTGTTCTCATGCAGGTATCTCAAAGCCTGGCATGGGATCCAACTGGATCCTCCTGAAGCTTTTAGTGCATCTCATGTTGTGTGCTAGTCCTAGGAGCATTACCAATTGAGCTGCCTCTTTCTCTTCCCTTTCAGCTAACCCAGCACATTGGGAGTGAGCGCTGTGAGCCACAGGACGGTCTGCTCATGGGAGAGGCTTTGTCCATTTTAAAAATAACACTCCTGATTGGGGCTAGAAGAGCACTAATTAATTGCTGAGCCCAAATTATCGCTCACCACACACACAGAATAGCTCCACTCAGTAACAGCACATACTTTTGTTGTGCAGCAGCCCATTTTGCAGTAAAATATTAATGATGATCCCCAAGCTGATCTGGCAAGCATCAAAGAAAGCAAAAACTCAGCTCGAGAGTACATGACCTTGTGATGAGCACTTGCAGGCAGAACCATCTGACGTGGCTCCTGTTTGATGCAGAACTACACCAATTCCAGTAAGCCCTTTCTTCCCTCCCATCTCTAATGGCTACGGATGTCAGGTGGTTTCAGAGCACCCCCGGGAGACTGACTGAAACATCAGATGCAAGAAGACGGTTGCATACAGCTTCGCAAGTGATACAAACCAGTGCTATCAGTTTGTGGGCGCTGAATCCGAGTGCTGCTCTGAGCAGCATTTGCTGCTGACTCTGGAGAAGGAGCTGCACCCACACACAGCAGAACTGCCTCTTGTCACCTGCTGGACCCAAAGCATTCTGCATCACCGTGCTTTAGATAGTGGACACCTCAATCATGTTTAGAGACAGAAGGTTTTTAAGGCTCCCCGTGCTCTCATCCCACAGTTGCAAGGTGGTCAACAGTGAGGACTGGTGTCTGGTGCTCACGCCAGGCTGGTGGTGGCTGCAAAGGGACAGAGAGGTGAAAGCACAGCCCTTCAGTGAATGGGAGCATCCCCTTCTCCCATGGGATAAATACAAAAATCACAATTCCTAAGTTTAGGCCAAAGAAGTGACTGCATGACAGGATTCAGACAAGAAGTACTCACACAAATATTGAAATTGTGTGGGAATAACACCTTCAGAAAGTTCTCCTGCAACCTGATATTCATATCTCAATGTTTGAGGTCAAGAAATCGCAGCAGTGGAGGGTGAGAAGGAACAGAAGGGCTGTGTGGGATGAAGCAGAGTTGAATTCAGACTCGAGGAGATAGCAACAGAACAATTCCAGCTAGCGAGCTGATCAGCCACGGGATTTGTGCCTGGGGAGCCTCAGACAGTCGGAACTGGGCTGCAAAGTGAAGCTGAACAGACTGAGAGCCATCGATACCAAGAGCTTTGGAAGTTAAATATTCCCAAAGACCCCATCGGGTCCCTACCGGCTGCCATGTAAACCAGAAAGCGCTGCTGAGACGCAGCATCACACCTGGGTGCTGCCACAAGCAGCTCTTCCCCGAGGCAGAGAGCAGAGCACAAGGCAGGAATTCAGCAGCCTGCCCTGCCGAAGGCCTTTTGATAAGGTGCTGAAACACAACACCTGCACTTTCTGCTTCTCCCATCTGCAGCAGAGGCGTAGCTGCCTTGCACAGGCTTTGGGAAAATGAAAGGCAGAGGAGAGCAGTGAGGCTTCCAGGTGAGGGGCAGAGGGAGGAAGACAGCAGCGTTTTAAAGCACCCTATGAGCCTCACTGCTACCCAACCTGGCCAAGCACTTCTGCAAAGAACCCAAAGGCAGCTCAGGTGTGCAGAAGGAATATAACCTGCACCTGAGGAACTCTGAAATTAAAATCCAGCTGGGTCTGAACCTCTGCTCATTTATTATAAAAGTCATCAGGTGCTCCCAGCAGTTAGCAATGCAACTTGTGAACAACACACACATCCAGCACTGCGGCAGCACCATGAAGACAAGCAGGGTGGCTCTAGAAGCCAGAACTGCTCTGCAGGTTCGCTGTGTGACAGGATTGGGGTCAGACAGGACACAGCTGGCACACCTCTCTGGAAAGGGAAATGTTTCCTTCCAGGACTGTCTGGGTTTTACATTACTTGGCAACATTTATTTCCCTATGCTCTGAATTGGGAAAGCAGCCGAGGAAGGCAGGAAAGGAGAAGAGAGAGAAGAAATCCTGGCTCCTTTTTACTCACGTGAATGTCACGATGCTGCTAATGCCTATCAGAACCAAAGGCTGAGAAAAACCCCTCATTCAGGCGGAAGAGCCAGTGGGCCTTTGTACCAAACACCAGCTCAAATTCAAGAGAAAGCTTCTATTACTTATTAACATCACGAATCGTGAGCTGTGGTTTAAGCAGCAGCCTGTCTTCCACATCCAACAGGAGAGAAGAAAAGCATTCAGCTTCTAAAGGCAACAGTAACCACGATTAGCTTACATACTCCCTAGTTGAAAAAAATAATTCCTGCTCCAGTAGCTGAAAGAAAACACAGAAAAGCTCTCAGATCATCACCCAGTTTGGGTACACAGAGCAGCTTTTTGGATGGCAACAAGTGCCCTCTGCCATCCATGGTCTGGCTGCACCAGGCCAGGTTAACATTCCTGAAGACATCAAACAAACTCACAGCCAAAGCTGCTCGAGAGTCAGAGCTGCAGCCAGGAGATGTACCTGCAGATACAGCTGAGAACAGCGGCCACAAGCCAACAGACCTCAGGCCCAGGACATCCACGTGGTGCCCATGGTTTGCTCCCCGCAGCCCACACAGGGACGTCAGGCTTACCTGGTGCCATAATGCAAAGGGGCCGGGCAGCAGACAGCCAAAAGACCTCACTTACCACCACGAAATGGCAAGCCCCATGTGTTTCCAGCAGCGTCAGGTTTGTTTTTAGTAATCCCACACTGCAGAGCAGCTTGTACACAATGCCTGGCAATTTGGTTGTTGGGCAGCTTTTCAAATGGAAAAATCAATACGGTAAGTACACCTGAATTCTTCAAGCACTCAGGAAACTTCTCCCCAGGGTCTATTACCTGAGTGCAGAGATGCCTACACAAGAGCAGCAAGACCACAAAAAAGAAAGAAAAAGGAAGAGCATTTATTTATGTAACTGCCTTCTCATCCCCCCCCAGCCCAGCTTTCCCTAATGCTGCACAAGGGCACAGCTATCCAGCGACCAAAGTCAGAATGAGCACTTTGGAGTTAAGGAATCCAACACCTAAATCCATGTTTGCTCCCCCAAACCGGGGTGGCCTTGGATGCTAGGAAACACACTCCACTTCGGGCCAACCTGTGCTGCTACAGCACACAGAATTTGTATGTGAAAGCCGCAGTGATCGAACTGTGGGAAAGAAAAGGCTTTTTTTTTTTTTTTTTTAGGTAGAAACACACAACACAGCAATATCTTCTCTTGATGCCCGTTTTCATTTTGCTTATCTCCAGCTGGTCACGTGTTTAATGACACTATCACCTAAATATAGCTCATCCTGCCACCGCTCACCATCCTACCCATCCCTGCAGGACCACCGCACAGCTCCTGCTTGCCGTGCTGAGCTGCTGGAAGGAGGCAAAGCAGAGGGCCCGGCAGCCCCTGTGTGTGTCTCCTGCCTCGCTCAGCACAACACCCGCGGCTGGCAGCCCCTTTGTGCTCCATCTCAGTGCCCCTCTCTCTTTTGTCTCCGTGCTGTCGGGCTGCGTGCAGCAGGGATGCCCCAGAAACAGAATAGAATCACTAAGGTGTGGGAAAGAGCTCTAAGATCACCTCGTCCAGCATCGCACGCTACGTCCCTAAGCATGACATCTACTCTTAAGCGCCTCCAGGGACGGCGACTCCCCCACCTCCCCGCACAGCCCATTCCGTTGCCTCACCGCTCCTTCCGAGCGCAAATCCTACCGCCCAATCTGCAAACCCAGCCCCGCAGAACGCAGCCGGAGGGGCGCATCCACACAGCCGGAGGACAGAGATTGACGTGCAGCTCAACCCCACGGCGGCACAAACAAGGGCAGAGCCACACGGCCGCGAGCAAGACGCAGAGCTGCCGCTCGGTGACGGACAGACACCGCTCCGCGCACACGGGAGGCACCGCTCCGCATCCCAGCGGGCCGAACGCTGCACCCCGCCCTGCGGGCCTCTCGCACGTCCCCCTTCCCCAGCCTTCGCACAGAGCCGAGGCCCGGCGCAGCTCCACGTTCAGATCCCGACCCCCCGGCACCCCCCCACCTCACCTTGGTCTCCTTGACGTGCTGCTTGATGCCCTCCGGGTACCACTGCACCCTCACGTAGCCCCGCCGCAGCGGACTGGCGCGGCCCTCCTCCGTGCCGCCCGCTCCTGGGCCGCCCGATTCCGAGCCCCCCGAGCTGGCTGCTCCCCCCGCTCCCCGGCCGCCGCCCCCCGGTGCCGCCGTCGTCGTTTCCTCTTCTTCCGAATCGGAGTCTTCGCCGTGGATGAGGCGAACCAGGCCGAAACGCACCGAACCGCGGTAACGGCCGGATACCAGGTCGTGGGAGAAGAGGAGACGCTGCGAACCGCCCGGAGGAGCCGAAGGGGGTAAAGGCAGAGCGGGGGCCGGGGTCGGGGCGGCGGGGAGCTCCGCCATGGCGCCGGGCTGAGCGGGAGAGCGCGCGGCCGCCGGCACGGGCTGGGGGAGGGGCGGGGCGGGCGGCGCGCGTGAGACGTCAGGGGGCGGGGCTTGCGGGGCCACGCCCTGTGCGTAGCGACGCAGTCGAGGCGGGCGTGGCCGCTGATTGGACACGCCCGCGGAAATGCCACGCCCATCGGGTGGGAGGGGCAGAACGGAGGGAAGGGGGCAAGGGGCAGTGAGGTGCTCTCTTTGCTCCCATACATCGCGTCGGTTCCTGTTGTGACCTCCCCGCTCCTGTGCGGGACATTCGGAAAACGTATGGAATCCTCGGGCAGATCGGTTATGAGGCAGAAAAAAATAATAAAAACCCAGGAGCAGCGTTTTCCCTCTTTTCGTCCTTCCCAGCGAGGAGCTCGAGCTCCAGCTCAGCCAATGGGCTGCAGCTTCTCTGTCCAGCGCTCCTGGAGGAGACTGGAGGAGCAGCGCTTGGATGTTGTGTACAGCACAGCGCTGCGTCCTTCTCACAGCTCCACGGACATGTTTCCAAGCACGGCTACGGTAGCGATGCTTCTCATCATCCCTCCGATGCACGTTGCAACACTGCTAATGAAATACAGATACGGGCAATAGGCACGAACCGGTGCGCAGATGGAACTGTCCCTCTTCAGAGCCATTACAAGCTCTGCTCCGGACCCACCGAACCCCTCAGACCCCGTTTCTTTTGGGCCCGGTTCCGGTGCGTGGGGCGCTGCTGCCACCGCGCGGCCGCTGCTCGGTGCCGCAGGGTGCGTGCGGGCCGGCAGGGAGGGACGGATGGATGGGTGCCCTGCTCGGGTGCACGGATCCTTGCGGCGAAGCCAGAGGAAGGTGTAAAACGGGACTGGCAGCAGTGCCTTCAAAAGACAACGCTGCAGCTACCCCAAGCAGCGTGACCGCAGAGCACCGGGACAGCCGGGAGCAAACAGAGGGAGCGAGGAGCCGCCGGGCTGCGCTCGCGTCCTCTCTGCAAAGCCCATCCCCACAGCACTGCTCCGAAGATGCTGAGTGCTGCTGCACGGCGAGCCTCTGGTGTTGGCCCTCCGCAGCTGGAGGAGCAGACAGAGACTGAGCAGGCTGCTCTCTCTTGCCATGGTGCTGCCTTCAGTTGCTCTGAAATGCCATTTCTGAACAGCAGAAAGTTTTTTTTAATGATTACTTTTGCTGACACAGAATCACAGAATGGCCCAGGCTGGAAGGGACCTCAAGGATCATGAATCTCCAGCCCCCTGCCACATGCAGGGCCACCAACCTCCCCATCTAATACCAGACCAGGCTGCCCAGGGCCCCATCCAACCTGGCCTCGAAAACTCAGCAATGGACAGGGCATCCACGATCTCCCTTGGCAGCCTGTTCCAGCACCTCACCACTCTCTCTGTAATGAACTTCTCCCTAAATCTTCCCTCCCTCAACTTCAAACCTCTTCCCCTTGTCCTGCTGTTATCTACCCTTTCAAAGAGTTGATTCCCCTCCTGTTTGTAGGCTTCCTTTAGGTACTGAAAGGCTGCAATGAGGTCACCCCGCAGCCTGTCTTTGAGGGAGCTGCTCCGGCACCCTGATCATCTTCATGGCTCTCCTCTGGATCCTCTCCAACAGCTCTCTGTCTTTCTTGTACTGGGGGCTCCAGACCTGGACACAGCACTACAGATGGGGCCTCACAAGAGCAGAGTAGAGAGGGACAATCACCTCCCTGTTCCTGCTGGCCACCCCTCTTCTGATGGAGCCCAGTTGTTCCCTTTCCAGGAGCTCACGCTTGGGATAATCCCCATTTGGTTACACTAACAGGGACAAATACAGCTGGCTTCTCTTATCCTGCTCCTCGTGTAACAACCCCAGGAGCAGCTGGGGGTGCACACAGAAGGATGCATTATGTCTTTCCCAGTCCAAGCCCTGCTCTCCCTGCCAGCTCACCCCAAGTACGCAGCAATCAGCTAAATCAGCTTTATCCCCCCGCAGGCAGTCACGCCAGGGTAAAGAAATCAGCCTCAGCTGCCTGATGGGATCCTTTGCCTGCTCGTCATCTTAAAGCCTCTCACCTCGTCTTTCATCATGGTTATAAACCCCTTAGAACTTCATCACGTGCTCCATAAATAACAAATATATAAGCGAGGCTCTGCGTGTGGCTGCAGCCCCATCCCTGCTGTCCCACGGCTGTGAGGAGCCGCAGGATCAGGCTGGAGAGGAGCAGCACCAGGTCCCCATCCCCATCCCACAGCCGGTAAGCCCAGCGTTTCTGGGACCTGTTGGTCCTCATGGCCTTGGGGATATCTGGTGGCCTGTGGGTCGCCGTGTTGTTCTGGGCTATGGGGAGTTGCCTCAGAAGGGAGGGAGCTGGGACACTGAGCTTGACTTGCCTTGGATTTTGGAGGTGAGAGCATCTCGGTGGGCCATGCAGATGCTCTGGGCTCTGCAGTGCACAAGCACAAAAGGAGGGGACAATTTTACAACGTGTACTTTGTGTGCTAATAGTACACCTGACATACGGGGATGTGGAAAGGAGCCACAAGGTGCCCCGAACCTTAATATAGCCTGGGTTATAAACAACTATAAAAACATGCAGGAGGCTGTGTTAGAGTGGGAGAGACAGTTTGACGGAGCTGGGAGGAGAGGGGTTTCCTCCTAACTCTAGCTATTCCTCACTGTGCGCCCAGCAGCCATCTCAGTGTGCACATTCCCTGCATGCCAAAGACCTTTGCGTGTGCAGGGAGCTGAGGAGCTGAGCAAAAAGCAAAAGCTCATTTCCAGAGAAGAAACACAACTCCACCAGCCCGCTGGCTGTGTGACCTGGGCTGCCAGAAGTGCTGGAGGGGAAAAGATTCAACGGGAAGGAGCTGAGAGCAGGCTGCACCCCACAGCACTTCTGCTCACGCTGGTGCGTTGGGGTGCTGAGAAGTTTCTATAAGCACAGGGGGTGTCTGAGCCACCAAAGCCTGCTGCAGAGCCCTGATGCAATCAGGGGGTGAGCAGATCTGGCAGCTGATACCAAGCTGTGAATTCTACAAACACCACAGCATTCCTGCAGTACTGTCTCATTTTGCTCCCTTCCCATCCATGGGAGCATGAAGCACTCATTCCCAGCACATGTTGGTTTGTCTTGCGCTTGCCCCTTGGCAATGAGAACTGGCACAAGGGATGCTAAATATTTCCCCTGCCCCTGACACCCCTTGAGCATATCCACTGCTAACCCAGCAATCCATTGAAAGGGAATCACAGCAGCACCCCATCTCACCACTTCCAGCACCCAGCCCTCAGCCTTTCCAGATGGAAAATTCCCAGCTCGCTTTGGCTCTGCCCTGTGCAACGCTTGTGCTGGTAATGCTTTTGTTTCTATAAATCCTATTAGCTGGAGGCAAGCCTATAATTAGCAGGGAAAGCCGGCACCTCTCAAACAATAATCAGAACTGACCTGGCTCCATGCTGGCTTTGCTGTGAATTGCTTTGAATATTGGCTGACTGGTGGCTCCCGCTTGGCTGGGAGCTGCTGCCACTATTCCTGCCCGCAGGCCAGGGCTGCTCGGGTTGCACTTCTCTCTGGGTTTATTAACTTGGTTTGATTAGGCATGAAACATGAGGCGGATTTATGACACAGAATCTGACCCAAGCAGAGGGATCTGGCAGAGATGTGTAGGGTAGGTGGTGATGGATGGGACAGAGCAGCAGAGACAGTCCCACGGGCCATGGGACCCATAAGGGCTTTTTGGGCAAGGCTGGGGCTCTGCTTTTCTCTGCAAGGGAACACTAGAGGACTGCTCTCCTGAGCAAACTTCTACACAAGCATTTACAGAGTCCAATCCCACATCTGTTCAGCAAGGACACCCTGACAGCACACCCCTGGACCTCCCAGCCTTTGGGGTGGTTGTGACCATAGGCACTGGAGCAGCTGCAGATGGGCTCATCCTGCCTGCTGGCCTATCTCAGCATGGCCATGATTTAGCCATACGATTTACCCCCTGAGCAAGCTGGAAAAGTAAACAAAGCCCCCAGCAGCACAAGCATGACACAGAATCACAGAACAGCCAGAGGTGGAAGGGACACACAAGGACTATCAAGTGGAAGCCCTGGCCCCACACAGCACCACTCAAACCCTACATGTGAGAGCAGTATCCCAACACTCCCTGAGCCCTGGCAGCTCAGTGCCATGCTTGCTGCCCCAGGGATCTGTTCCATGCCCAGCACCTGCTGATGCAGATCCTTTCCCTAATCCCCAACCTGATTCCCTGACGCAGCTCCAGGCTGGTCATCTCCGGTGCACACACAGCACCGATGTCACCTCTGTGCCCTGGACAGGGACAAGACGCCCAGCCCCAGCTCCATCCCACTGTCCAGACCCCTGGGGCTGGAGGTTGGCTACTTATGCCAACTCCCAGGGGTGACAGCAGGGTTGCCGTGGGTGGGTATTTGCTGTATCTATACCCACACGCAGCTAAAGGATGGCAGGCAGCCTAATCCCATGCGTGATCAACAGGTATTTTCGACAGCTAAGAGCTCAGGAAGAGATTGGCTGAAATTAAAGGTGCCGTGACACCGCTGGGGCCCGGAGCTGACAGAGCTGCCCCGGATAAAGGCGGCTGGGAGCAGAGCGGGATGCCGGTGCTCAGCGCGGTGCCGTTCCTGAAGCCCACCCACCCGCAGGGCCCACGCCGTTCTCCCGGCCGCCAGCGCCGACACACGCTGCCTGCCAGCGAGTTCCGCTGCCTCAGCCCCGAGGATGCCGTCAGCGTGTTTGAGATCGAGAGGGAAGGTAAGGGGCTGCCCACCTCCCCTCCCACCCCGCCTCACCCCGGAGCCGGAGCTGGGTGCTCAGCGCCCTCCCCTTCCAGCCTTCATCTCCGTCTCCGGTGACTGCCCGCTGCACCTGGATGAGATCCGCCATTTCCTGACGCTGTGCCCGGAGCTTTCCCTCGGCTGGTTCGAGGAAGGGCGCCTGGTGGCCTTCATCATCGGCTCCCTGTGGGACCAGGACCGGCTCAGCCAGGTAGGAGGCGGACCCAGGGTACGCGGTGCAGAGACTCGGGTTGCCCTGCACGGCCCCGCTAACGGCCCCGTTCGCTCCCTGCAGGCGGCGCTGACCCTGCACGAGCCGCGGGGCACGGCGGTGCACATCCACGTGCTGGCCGTGCACCGAACCTTCCGCCAGCAGGGCAAGGGTTCCATCCTGATGTGGCGATACCTGCAGTACCTGCGCTGCCTGCCCTGCGCCCGGCGCGCCGTGCTCATGTGCGAACATTTCCTCGTGCCCTTCTATGAGAAGTGCGGTTTCAAAGCTCTGGGTCCCTGCCAGGTGACGGTGGGCACGTTGGCCTTCACTGAGATGCAGCACGAGGTGCGGGGCCATGCCTTCATGCGCAGGAACAGCGGCTGCTGAGCCCTGCAGCCCAGTTACACGCCAACCGGGGAGGGCAAGAGGGCAGGGAGCGAATACTGTGAGCCCTTTCCACCCCCACCTCGGCTGCACATCTTTCCCTGCTGGCCCCAGCCACAGCTCCCTGCCCACACATCTGCCTTTTGGCCAAGGGATGAGCGTGGCCCCAGCTCAGCCCTGTGCCTCACTCTCCCAGCGCTGGGGAAGAATTCAGCCTGCAAGCACCGAGCCTGCACCCCCCCCCAGCCTTCTATAGTTGGGGCTGTGAAGGGGAGCCCAGGAGGGCTGTGCAACCAAAGGATCCGCTACGGATGGAAAGAGCCTCAGCAGAGCCTGTAAGCCTTGAGCCCCCAGTCCAAGGGTCCCCTTCCCCAGCACAGCCCAACACCAGGCATGAAGCCAAGCCCTGCTCTGAGCAGCCCTTGCAGCCACCCCTCACCCAAAGACACCTTTACAGTAAGCATGAGACCCCCGGGGTGCCCCCCACCCCTGGGCACCCCAAATCACACAGCCAGGATCCTCCCTGCAGGGCCAGTCCTGCATGCAGACATCACCTGCCCACAAAGAGCCCTCTGCAAATGCCTTGGTCTATTGTGAAGCAGCAAATAAAGATGCAGTGGTTGTTTTCTACATGCCTGCCTATCTTTGCCCCCAGCTCCATGCACAGATGGGTCCAGCCAGACAGCCCAGACCCATCCACTGCTTTTTGGGGTTTTTCAGCTTTAAGCAAAGTGGGGCCGATGTGTCCCAGGGTATCTGATGGGTTGACGCTGCCCTTGGGCAGGGAACGGAGGCTCTGTAGGTCATTATGCCCTGCTCCAGGAGGGGTTTTTAGAGGGGAAGTAGGGAGAGCATCCCCCTGCAGAGCAGAGACAGCCCTACTGACTGCTGCCAAACCCCCCACCAAAAGCACAGAGGGAATCGAGGCCTCGTGGATCTCGTTAAATACAGGTAGAAATTTATTCAGGGTCAAAAAAATTCCACAGCTTTTTCTTTAAAAAAAAAAAAAAAAAGTATCAAAAAAAAAAAGACAACGAGGTGAGGTGCCAATCTTTGGCTGGAGCAGCACCGGAGGAGCAAGGAATGGGGCTGCAGCCGGCCTGCGGCAGAGCAGGGGGGGCACACATGGGGCTGAAACCCCAGCACCTGGATCGTTTTGATGAGGGACTTGTGCTGCTCCTGTGAACAGCGCTGTCACACACAGCACTGGATGTCACCTTACACCCCGAAGGACAAGAGGTGACACCGTAGGTCCAGAGCAGCAGCAAGGAGGGGGTCCTGAGGAGCCAAGCCCTGCCTCACCCTGGTGATCCAATAGGAGCCGAGCAAAATCACTGGAGTGCTTTCTTCTATGCTTACATACCAGCACAGTGCTCCACTTACAGGGGGAACCTCGCTGAGATGAGGGGAAAAAGCACCACCCCCATCCCACCCAGCGAGGAGCCCACCATGAGGAGCACAGCTTTGCTCCTGAGCGCCTGGGGAGCAAACAGGGGGCTGAAAAATATCTTCAATCCTTAGCTCTGAGTGTCAGAGCTGCAAAAAAAAAAACAAAAAAAAAAAACAAACAAACCAAGAGGAAAAAAAACCAAACCTCCAGAGTCCTCCACTGTGGAAACCACCAGGGTCCCCCCACAGCCCATTCAGGAAAACACCTCCAGCCTCCCAAAATTAAAAATCCCAGGGCTGAGAAGTGCTGGAGGACCCCATCCCACTGGGACAGGTTGGAGAAAGGGATGAACCAGAGCGTGGCCACAGAGCCCCTGTAAGCCCCGAGGTGATGGACACGACCAAGAGCCATAGGTACAAAAGCGCCCCTGCAAAAAGGGGGGTTGTGTTCACAGTAGGATTGGCACTGCTGGGCCCGGCTGCTGCCTCACCCCACAAGCTGTCCTGGGGTTAGGAGGGCCTGGAGGCCCTGAGCAGGCCGGTCCCAGCTCCACAGCCCCTCCGTGGGTCAGTGCAGGACCTGCTCCAGCTCGTACTTCTCGCAGAACTTGCTGGTGAAGGGCAGGCAGGTGAGGTACTCGATCCAGCGCCAGTTGATGGGGTAGACATACAGCCAGATGAACAGCGAGGTGAAGAGGCCCAGGAAGACCAGCAGGGACACGATGATCATGGCCCGCTTGCGGTACTTGTCCATCGTGCCGAAGGTGATGTAGGGCAGGAAGGCAAAGGAGAGCAGCAGGCCGCTGAGGAAGCCAAAGAGGTGGGCAATGTTGTCGATCCAGGGCAGGAGGCCGCAGACGAAGAGGAAGAGGACGATGCCAGAGAGGTTGAGCAAGGCTTTCCATGGCTTCTCCAGCGCTTGCCAGCTCTGGAAGAGCTCCACAAAGAGGCAAGCCAGCAAACCAAACTGAGACCCAGCAGGGCCCACCTGCAAGAGGTCAGACCCCACTTACATCTCCCATCCGTGTCCCCACGTCCCCAGGGTCTCTCCCCTCACAGGACACATTTGCCATGGGAGCGCCGGTGCTGTTTTGGCAGAGCCAGGCGTCGGGTATCTCCCACACCACCCCACACAGCAGGGGGATTAAGGCACTCGACGTGATCCCCTCTAAAGCCTGCCAGCTCTGCTGCCAGCAGATTAGCCATCTGCCAGCCCGCACACACCAACACGTGGGGCACACAGCCCACGTGAGCCCCGCACATGGGGCAGAGACCCCCTCCCCACACATGGCACAACCTGCCAAGGGGTGAGACCTCTGTCCTAGGCTCTGCAGCCCCCTCCCCATGAAGCTCAGGGTGGTGATGCTCTATGCACACAAGAACATTTGCTCAGTGCCCAGCCCAGAGCTCATCTTGGGGGGGGGGAAGCAGAGTTATGGGGGAGATCCCCCCCAGCTCCACAAGCTGCCCTCACCTCCGCCCGGTACGGTAGGAAGATGGCACTGGCCAGATTGCCTGTGATGCCACTGAGGATGAAGATGATGGAGATGCGGAGCCAGCCCGCCAGCTTCTCCAGATCCCGCAGCACCGTCATCTGGAAGGTCACTGACACCAGGCAGTGGATGATGCTGGAGGTGGAGGATCAGTGTTAGACTCCTGCCCTACCACAGCCCCTGCCCAGTGCTCCCACCCACTGCTCACAGACATGAGACAACTCACAAAGCTGTCTCCCACTGATGGCATGCATTGCTATAGCTTGAGAGTGCTCGCCCATCTCCCCTCCCAACCCATTAGGGACCACAGGCAGGCTGTCCCAAAGGATGCTACCATCCCAAGCCACCCCCAGTGCCCACAGCCTGCTACTCACCCTGCATGCAGGAACAGGGACAGCCACAGGCGGTAGATCTGGTCGGGGACCTCCGGGTTGAGGAAGGGCAGGAGGCCACAGACTTCATCCAGGCAATGCACCTGGCAAGGCAGACGTGGGTGGGAGGCGATGGGGTGGCAGCCCATCCTGCCGGTGCCAGCACAGTGATGCCCAGCCAGGCTGCTCACCCCAAGCCCCCTGCACTCCCCCCACAGCCCCTCACCTGTGAGCAGAGAGTTGCCTCCTCGTGGAAGTAGCCATGCATGAACTCGCAGTACTCCCGTGTTGTGATCTCACAGCTGGGCAGAAGGCAGGCAGTGGGCTCACCTGGGGCAGGGTGCACCCCCTGCTCCAAGCACCCCCAGTGCAGGGTCCTGTCACTGCGTTTCCCACCCTCAACCCCAGGGCCTCCCTCTATCCCTGGCACAACTCAGGACACCGATGGGGGGGTGCTGAGGAGCACCAGAAGAGCACACAGAACACTGCCCAACCTGCCCCAGGCTCGGTGCCCTCTGGCTGTATCTCACCTGCCCTTGGTGCCGATGCAGCACGGCCTGCCCTTGATCTGGCAGTCCATGTGAGGGAGGCCTGTGTGGTTGGTTTTGGTCTCGTAGGTGCAGATCTATGAGAAGGGAAAGGAGCTGCAGTAGGAGGGCTGCTAAGAGCCCACTACAGCCCCACACCGTGCTTGAGGCTGTCCACTTCCCACAGAGGCTGCGTTGGTGTGGATGGTGGGCACCTCACTAAGGGCTCTTACCGGCCACCTGGTGATGTCATCTGGCCACACATGGGGGGGATTTGAGGCCGGCTCTTCACACGTCCTGGTGACAGGAGAGGATGCGGGGGTCACTGAGAGTCTCCTCTCCCCAAGCACAACCCTGCCATCAGTCTGAGGCCAGGCACAAGACAGGGGACCTGCAGCCACCCCTCTAAGGTTCCCAGACTCAGGGAGATCCTTGCATGCTCAATATCCTACAGTGAAATGCACTGCAGCCAGATCACCCATCATGTAACTTCACTGAGTGTCCCCTTAAGATGTCACGTGTCCCTGCTTATCTCAGCCCAGGGATCGGGGCAGGCAGGAACAAGCTCAGGACAGCAATGCTCTTCAGGTGGCTTTCTGGCCCGCCCATCACACTTAGAACAGACCTCACCTCCACTTCCCCACCAATTCTCTCTTCCTCATCACCACCCCATGGCACAGAAGAGCCACCAACCCCTCGGCCAAACCGATTCCAGGCATTCAACCTGCAAACCCAGCCCCACACAACCCACCTGGGGTCCTGGTGACACACAGCCCCCGACGTGCGCTTCTCACCGGAGCCCATGGTCGGCGTGTTGTTGTTGGGCCACTTGATGAACGTTGCCAGCGTTTCCTGCAGGGATGGAGATGCTCAGAGCGTGGGCATGCAGGAACTGCTCTGCTCCACGTGCATCCCATGCCCCAGCCGTGCCCGCACCGAGCAGTCCTGCGGCAGTGTTTGGATGCAGCCCGATTTGTCATTCTGGACGCAGCAGCCAGAGTTCCGCTCCCGGTCCCGTTCGCGCTGGATGAGCCGCTCCACCTGGCGGTCCTTTCGGATGCAGGGTGAGAATTTGGCTCCTAGATGGATCAGGTCGATCTGAAAGGAGGGAGTGCTCTGAGGGATGCTCCAGGTCGCGTGCCATCTCCACCTCCCTTCCCAACTGCTGCCCTACTGGTGAGATCCCACCCAAATGGATGGACGGCGGGCAGGGGACAGGCTCTCTCCCAAGCATCCACTGTGATGCTTTGGTTCTGGGGAATGCTGCAGAGCCCTGGGAGCAGGCAGGAGGAGCTCATAGAGGGAACCAAAGAGCAGGACAGCAGGTTAGGACTAGGATTACTGCCATGTAGCTAGGGGAGAGGAGAAGGGAGCACCCCTTGAGCCCCACCTCAGGCTGGCAAATCACTTACCGAGCTGGGCCCGATCCAGAAGTTCTCCTGCTGGATGTACTTGACACTTTCATACACACCTTTGTTCCTCAGCACCTGCAGAATGAGACCAGGGTCACACAGCCAGTTGGGGGGGGCACAGCCCCATAGTGCCACATCTCCTCCAACCACCTGCAGGGGCTGAGCCCTTTGACCCTTTTGGGGCTGCATCTCTCACCCCAACAGGATTACCCCCACTATGCACTTGAGGACGACATTCAGGAGTCAGGCACCCAGGAGGATACAGGCCTGGCTGGGAGCTCTTAAACTTACTAACTCTGTCGTCACGTGCTGGGTGAAGCCAATGGGAGCGATACCATACGTGCCAATGACCAGCAAGGTGATGATGATGTGGACAAAGGTGATCCAGTAGGTGAAATACGGCCTGGGGAGCAAAGGGAACAGGGTCACGGCCCCTTGTTGGCACAAGGATGCTGTAGGAACCTGGGGAGAGCAGCCCTGAAGCCCACTCCAATAAGGACGCAAATCCAAATTGCACCTGGGGAGCCCCAAGGAGCGGGGCTGACCCGGGCGGGCTGCAAGCTGTGCGCTCACCGGTGGCTGTCGGTGATCTCCAGCTGTGACTGCACGATGCTGCTGAGGCTGCGGCGGTACGTCCTGTTCAGACACTGCCCCACCACCCCCAGTCCATAGTAGCGTTTCTTGCGGTCGAAGGCGAAATGCTTCACTTTGGAAGCGATGCGTCTGCCCCTCTGGGGGGCCGGGCCAGCTGAGGCAGCAGCGAGACGGGCACCCTCACGTCTGCAGGGAGAGAAAGCCATCAGCGAGGTAACAGCCCGGGGGCTGCCCCACTCATCCCGAGACCCTGGAACGGGGGCTGGGGAAATTTCTTGGCTTCGTCCTTGTAGCAGCATGCTGGATGCGCCCAGCGCCCTACAGCAGGGACGGGTGGACGTGGTATTGGCTGGGGGGAGGTCAGGGCAGGGGGCTCGGGGTTGGCACTCACAGTGCAGTCTGCTCCACCTCTGGGGATGCCCTGACATCCTCCCCCACCGAGTGCATGCGTAAATACGTGGCTGAGAGTGGTGGTGACTCGAAGACGTCATCTGGCATGGAATAGGTCTCGTCGTGCGTGTCCATCTGGAAGGAGCACGGAAGGGAGGGGGACCACAACGTGATCCCAATGACCACACACTACAGCCCATGTGAAGCGCCCATGATCCCATCACCAACGATTATCACTGAGTCCCTGCAGTGCTGGACACAACACCCACTGATGCCCTTGCTCTTGGAGTGGGGCTAAAGCACAGACACCAGGGGCCCTTGGCACACGCAGCTCCAAATACAGCCCAAACCCCATTTGGGTAAGAGACCAACCCTGGACCATGCTAAGAGCAAAGGAGGTGGGACAAACAGGGCTGCCCAGTGAGTCATTGTCTCAGTCAGAACGCTGCTCAGCCCCACGTGGGGCACTGGGACCCCCCAGCTCCAGCAGTAGGGGTGGAACAGTGCTTGCCTTACTGAAGAAGGAGGAGTCCAGAGTGTCAGCAGTATCCACCACGTCCTCATCCATGAAGCTGGGGTACATGAAGCTCCTCTTGGTGCTCCTCTGCTTCTCAGTCAGAGGCTCCAAGACAGAGCGGCCCTATGGCAGGGGAAGCAAACGAGGGTAAGGAACACAAAGCCTCAGCGCTGCAGAAAGTAGGGGGGCTTTGTCATAGCCACCCCCAAAGTCCAGCAAGTGGTGGCAAACATTAAATGCCAACCACGGCCCCGTGTGGAGGTCACACAGCTGCCTGTTGCTCTGGAGAGCCGTCAGTGCTGGGCCATGGCTGTGACAGGTGGCACAATTCTAAATCTCATTTTAGGTCTCTGCCCCACATCTCCTTGGAGACCCATCTCCAAGGCTTGCAGGGGACTCCCCAGGTGACAGAAAGTGCCAGAGAAACTTCCCCTGCAGCAAAAGGTTGCTGGCTGGACACAAAGGCTGCTATTTTCGAGGGACGGCATGTGAGACAGTTCCACTTTCTGATCCACTTTCCACCAGAACTTCTCTTTTTAAGGTTAAAACCCACCACCTCCCCCTCCCAACACGCAGCAGAGTGCAACAACCGTCTTTGTGCAAAGCAAAAAGCCAAGAAACGAAGACAACAGAGGGCTGAGAAGTGAACCAAGAGGACGATCCCTTTCCCCAACACTCACACGGAGCAGCGCGGCGGCCGCCCTGAAGCTCATGTGTGCCACAGAGAGCCTCTTGCGGCGTGGCAGGCGGCTGTAAGCAGAGCGGGCACTGCCCAGGGATGCCAGCGACGTGACACCAGGGGTGTGGGGGGGCAGGACGTGGTGGGGCGTATGGGGACGGTCGGTGTCATCGGGGTGGCGGAAGGGACGGCCCCTGGCCAGAGGGTCCACGATCTGGAAGAGGGAGAGGTGTGTTGGTGATGGGGAAGGGTTGGCAGGCTGTCCCCGTGCTCCGAGCTGTACCTTGGGCATCTTGGCCGGTTTGGGTGACTCGGTGCCTTGGAAGGAGGGCACCTCCTGGCTGGGCAGCTCCATGTCGCGATAGGCAGCCTTCAGTTTGCCGTATCTCATGCTGCAGTGCTGCAAGCTGCGGCGCTGCCAGTGCTGCCGCTTCCCCTCCCAGTCGCCGCTGACGCCGAACCATTCCGCCGTGCCCCTGGGTGTGTGATGGATGCACTCCAGCAGCCGCTCAGCCCCCCGCTGTCACCGTCCCACCCTGCCCTCCCTCCAGCTGGGGATTGGAGCTCGGTGGCTCAGCACGGTGCTGACAGATCTGTGGGTCGGGGCAGACGGGTTGCTGCTCCATTAAGCCGAGATACCCTGTATCAGGATGCACACAACTCGAGGCATTTGCTCCTACAGCACCAAGACGTTTTCACAGCCAATTCTACCACGTGCTCATCCAACAGCTGAGCTGTGTGGCACCCATCGAGGCTTTCCCTTGGGCTGGTGCCCACATCCCTGCCATGGACACCCCCCCAAGCCCTCACTTGCGGATGCTCTGGGACAGAGATGTCTGTCGGCGGAAGCCCGGCCGCCGCTCCGAGTTCTCACATCCCTTTGAGCGTGGCTCCTGCAGGCTCTTGCTCTTCCGATAGATGGGCACCTTGGAGGGCTGGGAGGCAGAGCACAGGGTTACAGAGCACAGAGGATAACGATAACCAAAACCCACGTGGGACGGAGAGGTGCCTCCCAGAGCTCACCTCCTTGTGGGTGCCGTCCTCCTCTGCCTCCCGGGGCGGGGGGATCACGATGGAGAGGTTGGGGGGCTTCTTGCTCTGCAGGCGGCTGCTGCTGGAGCGGCTGCTCCCATTCTTGTTGCTGGATGCCATCTTGAGTGGGTGGCAGGCTGTGGGGGGGAGCAGGGAGTGAGTGGGGGAAGGCAGCCACAGCCCTATTGCTGCATCCCTTCCTCCTGTTCTCTGCAGGGTAAGTGCATCGGTGCGGAAATGGCAGCAGGAGCATTAATGTTAATGGGGCTCTGCCTGAGGGGAACCCCAGAGGGAAGGGAAATGGTGCAAGCACTTCCCCCCCTCACTGGGAGGGATGTGCATCGCTCTCTTCTGATGGCTTACAGCTACCTGGGAGACCCCGCAGGGCAGCACTGAGGCATCCCAGACAAGAGGACAGCCCCAAGGCTGCGTCCCCAACACCTCCTGGCCATAGCATCAGCACAGTACCCACAGGACTGGGCATGCAAAGCGTTCCCCTCACGCACATGTTGGGCTCTTGGCCAGCAGGACAAGGCAGAGCACACAGAAATCTTCCCAGCGCACAGAGCGGGGGCTTAACAGCCAGGAGCAAAATCTTTGGGCAACCCCTTCCTGAGAGTCCCCCTGCAGCTCTGCAACACCAGGCAGAGCCTCACGAGTCAACAGGGAAAAGTAATTCCATCTGAGCACAAGGGAGCAGTCTTAAATCCTATTAGGGACTGTGGGCTCCTGCTGGGATGGATGCTCAGCCCCTTGGCCTCTCACCATCCATGTGCACCAAGGGCACCTGCCCAGGGCTCGCTGCTGACAGGCATTCCCCCATCCTGCTTGGTGTGTCCAACAGATGCCAGAGTCCTGCTGAGGGGCAGCCATGAGACAGCAGGATCAATGGCAAGGCACCCTGGAGTACACCTGCACCCCGCTCTGATCCCTTTGGGCTGCTCCTCCCCACCACTGGCCTTAGGAGCTCAGTGTCCCATGGGATGAGCTCCTTGAGGACGCTGGCACTAGAGGGCAGCCACTACCCAGCACAGCCCCGTGCTGCAGCCCAAACATGCAGGGCTTAAACCCAGCACTGCTGTCCCATAGAAAAGGGCAGAGGGCTTAGAGGGCTCCCTTTCCCCAGTTAACCCCACTCTCCACCAGCCTCAACGAGGCTGCAGAGGGTAACTGATAGAGAGAATCTGGATGGGAAGAAGAGAGGCACCACTGCCACAAATGTGATTAGAATCAGATGTTTGAAGCCCCCATCTCAGCCTATCCGGGATGCTCCTACCTCATAAGCGTGGCAGGGATCCCACGCAGTGCGTCTCAATGGACTCCTTCTCCCTTCTCCTCTGTCCTTCACGCATGGGAGTCCCAGGGCATGGCTGAGGTTCTCTTGCTCTGCCTGGTGGGACTGGTGCTGCAAGAGAAAAGCAGGGGTGAGAGATCAGGTCCAGCCTGCAGAAACCTTCCTGGGAGAAGCTTTGGGGACAGGGCTGTGAAAGGAAGCAGAAGCACCAGGGTAAGGGCAGAGCCATCCAAAAACATCAGGGCAGGATGCTGGGACAAAGCCACAAAGCCACACCGCTGCATGGCTCTGGGCAGCCACAGGACATGGGGGATCGTGCTGCGGTCACTGGCACAGGGTGAGGGAAAGCCACTGCACCTGGCACCTTGGCTGAGACAACACAGGGCTGAAGGGGAATTTTTTCACCCAAAGCTCTCAACAGAGTGAGAAAAAGAGCAGGAAAGAAACACAAGTGCTGTGCAGAGGTATTTGATGACTGCTGAGCTGGGAAGGCGCCAGCCAGGCCGTCCGGCCCCAGCAAGTGAAACTTTCCATCTCACTGGGGAACTGCAGATGCTGTTTGTTTTCCTCCCAGGGTAGCCAGCAATGAGGCAGAGGTGCCAGCTGCAGGCAGGACTGGCTCCGGGGAGCCTGAGGAGATGGGGGCAGGGATATGCTGGGCACAGGGACACGCAGCTGTGGGTGCTGCTATGACCACCAGCATCCCTCATGCTGCCCCTGCCACGGATGCACTCAGCACAGCAAGCAGCACACAGCGGAAACTGGAGGAGAACTTGGAACCAATGCTGCTGTTTGGTGATGCGAAAGGAGCGGTGCTGTTTGTGCCCCTGATCCCATCACTAATTGCTCCATCAGGCTCCCACACAGCTCCAGGTGAGAACCTTAATGCTCTCCGGGGAAGCACATTTGCAATGCACCCAACCACTGAGTGCCTCCCACGCAGCGTGGGAGCAGCAGTTGGGCAGCTGTACCCCATCCGGCACCTGCAGGCCAGATCATGTGGCCAGAGCACTTTTCACGGCTCCTTGAATTAAAGCAATGCTTGGCATCCAGAGAGCAGGAAGAGGGGAGCAGCCCCTGCCAGCTAAGTCCCCTGGGTTATCCAGGCACAGGGCTGGGCAGCATCCATCCCACGAGGTGTGGGAAGTTTCACCCCACGCCAGCAAAAAGCCTCTGGGATGGGGCTGGGAATGCATTTATCCGTTACCCTACACTCTTGGCACTGGCATGCAGCCCTTCAAGTGCTGGCACAGCTCTCACTCAGTGTGCTCAGCGTGAGAACAGGCAGCCTGAGCCCGAAACAAGCTGCAAGGAGCTGCAGCCACAGCCAGCACAGCCCTTCACCCTCCAAAGCACGGCACAGAGGGGTTTGTCAGCGCTGTGGGGCCCAGTCTTGCTCACCTCAGGGTCACCCATGTGTCCCCATGGGGGCCAGGCAGGAGAATTTTGCCTTCACCCAGGCAAGGGCTGGGGCTCTGGGCTGAGCCACGAGAGATGCTGACCCAAGGAAACACACCCAGAGAGGAAAGTGGTGGAAAAAGTGACGCAGCTCACACATGGCATCAGCACAGGGCGATGCCAGGATGCTCTGAGCAAGGAACCAGAGCAAAGGGACTGGCAGCAGTACCACGCACCAACCCACAGAGCCCCCATACAAGACACTGCTGACACCCCTCTGAGGCAGCCCTGCAAAGAGCCGTTCCATTAACAGAGCACCACAACACCAGCATGCCCATCAATGATTCAGGAGCACACTGAAGCTGCCCATCAGCACTGGAGCCTCGGTTGCACTGAGATAAAGAGCTGCCTTCGCCTTGCCAAGCAAACCTCTTCAATCTGCCCAGCACCTCCATGGACTCCCCAGGCGTGTCAGCCCAAACCTAAAACCCAAAGCTAAAACCTTACCGAGAGCAGCCGGGCCAGGCAGGAGCCTGACAAGTTCCCTGGGTGCGCAATTGGGAAACTCTCCTCACTTTCCTTCTGCCTATTCCCACAGCAAGCAGGACGTTGGGCAACTGCCGCGTGGTTTGTTCATCCCGGATGAGTTTCAGGCACTCGGCACACCCTGGAAGGAAGCAAAACCACGCGGCCGAGATAGAGGCACCAACCCACGGAGTGTGCTGGTGGCTGTGATAACGCTGAGCCAGCTTTCCTCCTCCCCTCTCCCATCTGCACGCAGCTCGGGCATTGGGTGAGGAGGGGAGGGCAGATGGGCAGCATGGCTGTGCATTGGGGCACCTCCCCGTGGCACAACCCTACAAGAGCACAGATCCCCCGTCAGGACCACCTCCTCCCCACAGCAGTGCTTCCAGGAGCCGTGTTTCTCCGGGTTTCCTGAGCCACTATCTGCATGGAAAGGGAAGGACTCGCCCACAATAGCTGGATGGGGATCTTCCCAGCCCACTTCCCAAGGCACATTCATTCCCAGCACGTCCCCCTCTGCCCAAGGAGTTGATACCCAAACACCCCCCAACCCATTGCAAAAAGGCTCTGCTCTTTGTGATCCCATCTGCAGCCCCACGTCCTTGCCGTACACGCACCCCAACACCACGTGCAGCACAGATTCCCCAAGCTGCTGGGCTTCATTAACCTGGCTCAAACACAATTCTTCAGAGCTTCCCCAATTCCTGGTTGAGCTCTGGGTCCCCCTGTGCAGGGTATGGCTCTGCAGAGCAGGGAATATCAGGGCTGTCCCCCAGCTCGCTCTCACTTCCCCAGATGCAAAATTCTTTGTGTGGGAGGGCAAAGGGCAGACGCTCATTCCTCCACATCTGCAAAATGCTGCTGCTTTGAGAGCTGCTCTTGGAAAGAGCACGCGGCCAGGATCTGCAAACTCCCTCAGCACTCTGCTCCCGGGAGAAACGTCCTGCTGGGGTCCCTGTGTTTGCTGGGGATTTCTCCTGAGCTCAGAGCATCGCCATGGGACGCGGCAGCAGGAGGTGATGCTCAGTCCTGTGCAGAAGTTCCACCCACCCAATCATGAGAGAACTGTGGGCATTCAGTGCAGCCCTCACCACGGCCAAACAGTGAGGAGAGCTGCTTGGCCCCAGGCTTGTATCTCCTGGAGCAGAGTGCTTATCTGCACACAGCCACCCCCAGGCTTGTGTCACTGTCCCACCACTGCACGCACACCCACCCCTCCTCCAAAGCATCAGCCAGTTCTGCAGCCTCATCATCTGTCCCAAATTCCATCCAGGAAGGTTTATCCCACTCCTCCCCAGTGCAAGACCTGCATTCCCCACAGGAAAGCCCAGCTGGGAGCTGTCTACTCTGTCCCACACATCCCATTCAACGCAGCACAAGCAGAGAGCACACAGCACCCAAACACAGCAACACCACACGATGCTGTGCCCCCATCCCAGCCCCACTACCTGCTGTGAGCTGCCAAGCCCTTCCCAGGCCCAGCACCCCTCCTGCACATCATAGCAGCGTGCCAGGAGCACACTCTGCAGCCTCTCGGGTGCCAAGAGCCGTTGCCTTCCTCCTCCTCAAGCTGGTGTGGTCCCAGCATTCACTTACCCATCCCTCCCTCCCCAGGGATGCTTTGCCATTCATTCCCATCTCCCAGCTCCTTGCTGGCACACAGGCTGCACCCACAGGGCCCCCACCTGCAGCACGCTCACTCCCAACCCTCCCCCCAGCTCCAGCATTCCCACAGCCAGCGAATTACAGGGATAACCCAGCCAAATCCCCAGCACAAGCTGCTGCATGACGCACGGCGGCACCTTGGAGCTGGGCAGCATGAATGCATGGACACAGCCCTGCCCCGAGCTGCTCAGCACTGGGGACGTGATGGCACCATCTATGGGGAAACTCACAGCTCCCAGCCAACCTGCTGTCCCTTGGTACACAGGGCAGCCCCCGTGATGGGGTCACGGATGGAGCTGAGCCTCGCTTGGCCCACTCTCCCCATGCACACATCAGTGCAGCCCCATGCTCAGCATGTGGCCTTGCACCCATGCCTGCCCCACGGATGTGGCATTTTGCAGGTGGGGAAACATGAGGCAACGTCTTAAAATGAGCTGCCCGCTCACAGACATGGAAATTGCAGAGCAAAGTGAGGGCAGCAAGGTGTGGGCAGGCAGCAGGGGAGGTGTTGGGGCCCCCCACACTAAGGTTGAGCCCACAGCCCTGCTGCAGTGCAATTATGTGAGAAATAGAATCATAGAATGGCTTGGGTTGGAAGGGACCTCAAGGATCACAAATCTCCAACCTCCCCTACTGCATGCAGGGCCACCAACCTCCCCATTTAATACCAGCCCAGGCTGCCCAGGGCCCCATCCAACCTGGCCTTGAACACCTCCAGGGATGGACGGGGCATCACAGCCTCTCTGGGCAGCTGTTCCAGCACCTCACCACTCTCATAGTAAAGAACTTCCTCCTGACATCCAACCTAAGTCTTCCTTCCTTCAACTTCAAACCATTTCCCCTTGTCCTGCCATTATTTACCTTTCAAAGAGTTGGCTCCTCTCCTGTTTACAGGCTCCCTTTAGGTACTGGAAGGAGCTAGAGTGAGAACGGCAAGGCTTTGCATGATGCTTGCAAGAAAAAGCACAGCTCTCAGCACTACTCAAAGGCTGGGGAAAAGATTGTGACCCCAAACACCAAAAGATTCCCAATGACCCTAAAGCCTGGCTTTCAACACCACTTTGCTGACATCCCCAAGCCCAACGACCACTGGACAAAAGCTTTTCCAAAGCAACGAGTTGACGTGGGCTGTATGGATTTAAGAGAAGTAATGTGGTCTCAGCCTTCAATAATTTACTCACATTGTGCAAACCCCCTGTGGCACAAAGCCCCCCCCAGAGAACACAAAGGAAGAACGGGGCTGCAGGGACATCCAGGTGGGGTTGGCTCCAGCTCTGTTTGCATGAGAGAAGTTCTGAGGGTTTTTGCTGAGCAAAGTGAGGTCCGCTCGCTGCTCCCCACCTCCTCCTTCAGCCCTCAGAATGGATGTGGAGCCGAAGGCCTCCAGGGCTGTTTCCCAAGGAAGGACGCAAGCGAGGCTTCCTTGAGTTTACACCAAGTTAAACAGGAGTGACATCAAAGGTAAAAAAAAAAAACAGCAAAACCAACCAGCAGCCCTCAGACAGAGGACAGCCACGTGCTGCAGCCAAACAATGCGACCCAATTCAACGTGAATTCCCCCACTCCTCCAGCCTACCCCCAGGAGCTTCAGCCCCATACCCCTATGGGATTTAGGACCTGGCCCCACAGCACACACACCCATCGTTCCCCAGCTCCCTGCTTGCATGTGTGCCTGAAAGCCATGCCCTCACAGCCCTGTGCTCAACACAACACAGCTATTTTGCCATCACCCCTCAACCCATGCTGTGGTTTTAACCCTCATCCACCCCACAGCTCCAGCACCCCTGGGTGCAGCTCCCACTGCAGCCACCTCTGCTCTGCTCTGCAGGAGCACAGCAGCAGCGCTGAGGGTCCCAAAGCATTTGTGGCAAAGGGACCCCAAAAACAACAAAGCAGAAAGGTCCCAATGGCCCTCTAAGCATTCATGGCCAAAAGGGTCCCCAGTCAAGGGGTCTCCAGTCAAGTGGTCCCCAGTCAAGGGGTCCCCAGTCAAGGGGTCCCCAAAATATTTGTGGCCAAGGTTTGTAAAGCATCCCCAAGCATCCGCGCCAAAAGGGTTCCCAAAGTGCCAATGGCAAAGGGACCCAAAGGACCCCAAAACACTTGCGACAAAGGAACCCAAAGGGCCGCAGAGCGTTTGCGGTTCGGAGGAGCAAAGCGTCCCCGTAGGATCGCACAGCACACGTGGCCGGGGGTCCCACAGAGCGTTCCAGAAGACCCCGAGGACCCCGAATTCCCCGCCCCCCGGAGCTCAGCGGGAATCCCCGGCGGTGCCCGAGCGGGACGGTGACGCCGCGGGGCCGGGACTTCCTCCTCCCGCCGGGACCGGAGGCCACAAAGCGCCCTCTGAGGTCTCCGGGTGCGGCTGAACCCGGATCGCGGTAACAGCGCCGGGTGCCCCGCAGCACCGAACCCGGCACGCGGCGCTCCGGGGCACTGCGGGACCCTCCGACGGGAACGCTTCGGGATCGTTCGGCCACGCGGAGCGGGGGAAAAAAAAGCGGCCGGAGACAAAGCGGGGAAAGGGGGACAAAGTAAAGCAAAGCGGCGAACGCAGCAGCCCTCCGCCCGGCCCGGCAACACGACGCGCTCACCTCGCCGCATCCACACCCCGCTCCCACCGCCGCTACCGGCGCCGCCGCCTCCACCTGGGCCGGGCGGGACGGGGCGGGGCCTACGTGGGGGCGGGGCTTCGGCGAGGGGGCGGGGTGTTTCGTGGGCGTGGCCTGGGAGGGGGGCGTGGTCCGCTTAGGGCCCGCCCCCTAGAGCGCCCCGCCTGGTGCTGCACGTGGGTGCTGCCGGTGCCGTGTGTGGGTGCTGCCAGTGACATTCATTGGGTGCTGCTGTCGTAGCAGGGTGCTGCTCGTACCATCACGTGGGTGCCCCCAGTGCCATACATGGGTGCTTCCAGTGCCATGTATGGGTGCTCCTAGGGTGCTCCTAGTGACAGTTATTGGTGCTCCCGGTGCCACGTATGTGTGCGCCCAGTGCTATACTTGGGTGCTCCCTGTACCATACATGGGTCTTCCCCGTGCCATATATGGGTGCTCCCAGTGCCGCACGAGTGCTCCCAGTGCCATCCATGGATGCTCCTGGTGCTGCATGTGGCTGCTCCCAGTGCTGTACGTGAGTGCTCCCTGCTGGCTACTCGCGGAGCCCTCCCCTCTCCCCTCCCCAGTTGCTGCTGGTGCTCACAAGTTCCGAGTCCCTGCGACAGTGGAACCAAGCACTGTAAGCCCACTGTGGAAGGTTTGGATTTTAAGCACTAAAAGCCTCTCCAGGGAGCACCAGAGCCGTGTGCTGTGTGGTGCAATTCAGGGCCAAATTCAACACAGGGCATTCCCAGGCATGGCTGCTGTGCAGACAGAGGGCACCCACTGCTCACAACCAGCTGTGAAGCTGAACACCTTCCCTACCACAGCTGCCACACTGGGGCTGCCTGCTTCCTGTCCCTCCAAGACCCCCCAGTGCTCCCCTGGGTATCCCCAGCCCTACTGCTGGGAGCTGGGCAGACACACTGCAGGTCTGGGCACATCCTGCTGGCTGGGCTGGATTTGGGGTGACACATTCTTGAGGTTGGAGCTGTGCGGAGCTGCAGAGCCAATCATATGCGCTGCACAGGGTGTCTTGGCCAGAAAGGGATGGCTGTGAATTCCATGGGGAAACATCTGCTTCTGTGGTCCTTTACACCGGGAAACCAGCTCCAAGCTGAGATTCATCCCACTCATATTGATAAGCTTTGTGGTGCTGAGACATTTGCAGTCTGCTTTTGGCATGCCTGCACTGCCGAGGCTTCTATATGGGAATGGGTTTTGCCATAACATAAACTTAGTTTCACACCTTGCAGCCCTGTCCCGGCAGCTCAGCGCTGAGCTGCACCCCCAGCAGCCTCCTCCCAGCACTGAGTCCCTGCCCTTTTCTGAGAGCTTCTCATGTGTCGCATCCTACAGAAGCAAGGCTCCAAGCCAGCCCTCCCCTTGGCACCCTCACGTGGGTGAGATCAGCCAGCAAATCTGTTCCTGGTAGAAATGAGGGTGGAAAAACCTTTGGGTTCCACCCAGCTGCTTGGAAGCTGTGGTTGGAGGTGGGTGGAGCAAGGCAGAGCCAGGTGCCTGTGACAGTGGGGTGACAGTGAGGAGTGGTGAGGTGGGGGTGTCCTGGCACTAACCTCCCTGGGATGGGCTGCAAGCTGGGGCAGGAGGGAGGAGAGCAGGGACCTGTGCCAAGGTGCCAAGCACCGACATCTCCCTGTGGCTGAGAGGGGACTTTGGAAGCAGCAAGACCTGTCCTCTGCCTTGTTGTCACCTTCACAGCCCCTTCTGCACTTTGGTCTTCAAAGACTGCTGGAAAAATGTCTGTGTTGGGACAGGGGATGCATCCTTCCCTGCGGGAGGGCTGTGCTGAGGCTCAGGAAGGGAGAGGCCATGAGGGTCACCTCTGTGAACTCAGCAGAGCGTTAGGCAATAAGGAAGCAAAGTAAGTGACCGAAAAAACCCCAAGGGAGCAATGTCACAGCGTTACACCAGTGTGCCTGGGTGCTATGCACTGTGAGTCACCTGTGGCCAGGCAGTGTGCCTGGGCTGGATTGTCCCCAAAGGGCTGCAAGGGGGGACACGTTGCTGTGCACCTCATGCTGGGGCCGGGAAATGTGCTGAGGCTGTTTGCAGCTGCTTATCTGAGAGCTCTCAGCTGGGAGTGGAGCTCCTGGGCACGACCCAGGTGTTTGAAATCCACCTGTCCCATTGCCACCTACATGGCCCAGTACCACCAGCACGGCCCAGTGCCACCCGCACAGCCTGGAGCTCACTGCCTGCAGCGCTGCCATTCCCAGCACGAACAGCAGAGGCCAGGCCACAATCGCTGCAGGCACTGAAGCTGTTCCCTGCAGCAGCAGCAGAGGATGCTCGGCCTCTTCCACCGCCC